TGGAAATGAACCACAAGGAGGAAGCAGAACTGCTGTTACATGGAGGACATCGTAATCACTGATTTGAAATGAAGTGTATGATGTGTTGAATGTAAAACTGATGATCTTGTCTGTAAACCTTCACTCAAATCACAATAAAAAGTTTTGTTTTTTAAATAAGAGGAACCAGAGATGCTGTGTGACGTTTTAGAAGACCGCAGCCTGCTTTTTCCCCACTGTCAGGCCTGCAGCTGAGGGTCAGGGTCCTGCAGTAAAGTCACACAGATCCTGTCAAGTACTTACCCTGAAGTTGGCCCAAAGCAAAACCCCTCCCACTCACTCACCAGTCCTCACAGGACTTCTGACAGTCTCCGGTCACACCCATCTTGTCAAATGCAGTCTATTAATCCAAAGGTGGGGAAAACCAGAAAGGAGGCAATTTATACCCATTTTGCATATGAGGATTTGAAGGGGGAGCTGAGAGGGGAGGCTTTTGAAAATGGTATCATTCTCTTGCCACTGAAAACTGCCAGAACCTTTCACCAGCCTGGCCAGCGGACTGCTTAAATACATGGCCACATCACAGTAGCCGTTCCCAGGGGTGTTGGCAACATTTTGGTTCCAGAAGTCGTCTGTTCTCAGAAGCCCAAGTCCCTAAATTGGGATTTTCATACCAACAATATGACACAGTACTGCTTCCATTCCCAGATCCACCCCGGCCAGGTAGGTAGGTAAGATCCTCAGATGCCAGTGTTGTTGTTAGGTGCCATCGAGTCGGTACAGAACAAAACACTCCCCGGTCCTGGGCCAACCTCACAATTGTTGCCACACTTGAGCCCACTGATGCTGCCATTTTGTCAATCCATCTCGCTGGGGGTCTTCCTCTTTTTCTCTGACCCTCCACCTTACCAAACATGATATCCTTCTCCAGTGACTGGTCCCTCCTGACAATATGTCCGAAGTATGAGAAATGAAGTCTGGCCATCCTGGCCTCCAAGGAGCATTCTGGCTGCGCTTCTTACAACACAGATCTATCTGTTGGTTCTTTTGGCAGCCCATGGCACTTTCAATACCAGATGCCAACAGGTTCTTAAAATCACCGTCTTTCCTTGTCTCTCCTGTGTTTAGTAAGGGATATAGGAAGGTGGTATGGATGAAGCAGGTAGGCATGGTGCATCTGGGAAGTGGCACATCTCTATGGAGGGGGCAGTTGTCACATCTGAACTTTCTCAGAGCTTCGCATTATATTGTGTGGTCTCTGAGTCTGTTTCCTCATCTGTGCTATGAGCATAGAAGCTCCCAGGCCCACCTGACTCTTTTGTGAAGATCAACTTCGAGGAGCTTGAAGGGACAGTGCAGTGAGCTCACTGCCACTGAGGTTCGAGGACCAGAGGGTCAAAGCCAGGCCAGACAGGGAGGCAGAACTCCTCGCCTAGCCCTGCCCTGCAGCTCTGGCCTCCTCCTGGGCAGTCATTAGCTGTCTCATACACTCAGGCTCCAGCTCACAGCTTCACCATCTCCATACAGCCAGTCTCAGGTGACGCCACCTGCTCAGGATTGCTTCAAGCCATTGCCATCACTTGCCCAAGAATTTCTGCATGGGCCTGGAGCTCGACTCCAACGGGCCTCTTGCCAAGCTGTCCTCCACACGTCCACCAGTGTTCTTAAACAAATCCCTGACTCAGCAATTCTGCTGCTAGGAATTTACCCAATGGCTATGCTGGCAAAAGTACTCGAATATACACAAACAAGGATGCTCACTGCAGCATTATTTGTAAGAGCTAACAACTAGAATCAAGTGAATGTCCATCAATAGTTATTAATGCAGCTGCTCAAAAGAACAAGGTAGATCACATGTACTGATGCGGCAGGATCCTACGATTCCAAGGTATTTAAAAAGGAAAGTGCATAGGAATCCATATTTAGGCTGACACTCAGCAATGAACATATCTGCATTCGTATTTCAAGCGTATTTTGTTTATGGTGCGTCATGTTATTGTGTTTCATAGGTATTGTGGGATTTTTTTTTTTACCACTTTAAGATTTGTGGCAACCCTGCATCCAGTGAGTCTTTATTTTTCCAATACTGTGTGCTCACTTGGTGTCTGCCACATTTTGGGATTTCTCATAGTATTCCCTTTCTTCCTAATGCTGTCACACTTAACAGACTACAGTATAGTGTAAGCATAGCTTTAATATGCACTGGGAAACCAAAAATTCCTTGTGACTCACTCTATTGTGCTACTTTATTATGGTGGTCTGGAAGCAAACCCACATTTTCAAAGTATGTTACACATTATTGGAGAGTATGTAAGAAACCCTGGAGTCCTGATGTAGCTGGTCCAGGATAAGCACTGGGCCAGCTGCTCCTGGAATATAGGGTCGCTATGAGTCAGAACCAGTCCAGTGCATTATCCTGCAGCGCCACACCAGGACTCCTAACATGTTGTTGTTGTTAGGTGCCATCGAGTAGGTACCGACCCATAGCGACCTTATGCACAGCAGAACGAAACACTGCCCGATCCTGGGCCAACCTCACTATTGCTGCCACGCATGAGTCCATCAGTGCTGCCACTTGGCCAATCCATCTCATTGGGGATCTTCCTCTGACCCTCCACCTTACCAAATATGATATCCTTCTCCAGCGACTGGTCCCTCCTGACGTTATGTCCGAAGTAACACACATAAGAAACTCTAAAGCTGTGGTTACTTTACCACCAGTGGGCTGACTTAGCTTCAATCCTTTTCTGACCTATTTGAATTTTCACCACATACAGGTCAACTGTTTTTTCAATGATTGTTTAAATAAACAATAAAATAGACAACTGGAATCACTGAACTCCCCCAGCCTGGAACCACCTGTCCCACTCCCCCACCAGGTAAGTGTCACAGGTGGCACACCTGGTTCCTCTCCAGCTGCCTCCTCCACAGGGTCGTCTTCCTGGTGCTCCCCTAATCACTCCAGCCCCAGCTTCAAAGGCTCACTGTAAAGGGGGAAAGAACACTAGCCCCCCGAGTGGAATCAAGACCCAAGGCGGCTGGCAAATCCCTAGCAGTGACCTCGCTCTCCTCAGCGCTGGGGGGCTTCAGGCACTTGCCCTCGGCCCAAGGCCTCCCTACTCATGGGAGTACACACCCAATGGCTGGTGACAGGACATGGAGCCACCTACAGGGATAGGGGACATGTCTACAGGGGCAGACAGCCCACTTGAGTTTTCAGGGAACTAGTGAGGCGTCAGGAGCAACCACATGGACCCGTCTCTCCCCTTGTCCAATCTGACTGCCTTTACTCCTCATAGGTTTGATCCCCAAAACTCCCACAAGCAAGTCTCCAACTCAGTCTGTTTCCAGGGGCACACAAGGCACTCAATTTTTCTTGAATAAATTCACCTAAAAAATGAAAACGGAGGTCTATGAGGAGCCTGGCATGGTATTTGAACAAAAAGGGATGTGCTGAACTAATAAAGCAGGAACAGTCTATTCAGATTTTCTAGTTGTGGTGGGAATATGTCCAGACATTGGTGGCTTCGACTTCAAATAATGGCCTAAGAAACTGTACTGTTGTGGCTGTGTGCTGTCAAGTCAGTTCTGATTCGTAACAAGCCTATACAGGGTTTCCTATACAGTGGCTGGTGGGTTTGAACTGCAGACCTTGTAGTTAGCAGTCCAGTGCTGGTCCTACAGTGAGGGCCACCCTCTAAGCACCTGTGCTGGAAGGAACCAGCCTGGTGGAATGAGAATGTGCAACCAGAATTCAGGTTCTGCGGTGTAACCTGGAGCAAATTCCAGATGCCAGGACACTGACTCCCTACTGATACAAAAAGGATGACAGGTCTTAGGATGGCTGCATAAATCCCAGAGACAATGAACAGGAAGTGCTGAAACCCAAAACCTTGTACCTACCGGTTGAATCCAACCCATGGTGGCCCTAGAGGACAGAGCACACTTGCCCAGAGGGTTTCCTGTCATCTTTATAGGAGGAGACCTACTGATGCCATGGGTTAGGCACTGGAAAGCTAACCACAGCTTAGCTAAGAGCAGGGTAGTTCTACTTTTCTCCAAAGGTCACCATCAGTCAGAACCAACTTGACGGCAGCGGGTTAGGAATCTGAGGGAGATCACCAGGTCTTTCCTCCCACAGAGCAGCTGCTGGGATCGAACCACTGGTTAGCAGCTAAACACTTAACTATGCTGCCACCAGGGTTCCTTTTACTGTCACATAAAAAAAGCCCAATGTCACTGAGTCAGTTCCACTTGTTGCGACCCTATAAATGGTTTCTAAGACTATAAATCTTTATGGGAGCAGCCAGTCTCCTTTTTCTCTTACGGATGGCTGGTGGATTTGAACTGCTGACTTTTGCTACCATCATGTTGCTGTAATTAAGTGCTGTCGAGTCAGCTCCAATTCAAGTGACCCTGAGGAGCAGCTGGTGGGTTTGAACCACCAACTTTGCACCACACCAGGACTCCTTGCTACCATCCTTCTTGTTGTTAAGTACCATGGAGTCGGTTCCGACTCATAGTGACCCTGCACAGGGTTTCTGAGGCTGTAAATCTTATGGGAGTAGAAAGCTCCCATGGAACAGCTGGTAGTTTCGAACTGCTGACCTTGAAGTTAGCAGCCCAATTCATAACCACTACACTACCAGAGCTCCAGTATCCAAATATATAGTCTGTTCGTAGTCTCAGAGACAAAGTAGGTCATTTTAGCCGAGATCTAAAGTGACAGAGGGGAGGAGGACAGAGGTAGGCTGCAGTAGAGGAGACAGCCAGGTTCTAAGGCTGGCACCTGTGATGGGGTCCATGTGGCACAGAGCATGGACACAAAGCCACTACGGGTCCCTCTCCTGACAACCCCTCACACCAACCACACGCCCCAGTGCACAGGAAGGCTCTTTATTCTCAGTGAGACCACCAGGCTACATGAGGGCTGAGGCTAAGGCAGGGCCCAGGCACTGCCCAGCATGCAGCATCTTCAGTGGAGTGGGCAGCGGGGCTCAGTCCTCCGAAAGGTCCTCTGTTCACACAGCACCATGCAAATACAGAGCTAGAAACTTTCTGAATGTCTCTGCCTGGAAACCAACTGGCCCAACAGGTTCCTGGAAAGAACACAGTCCATTAGAATCCTGCTACTAGCTTTAACAGCACCAATTAAAACAAAGGTCTATTTTATGTAACTCCTAAGTGGCTGGATAAGAACTTTCTTTTTCTGACATCATTTCTCTCAAGGACCAAGGAGACACACTGAAGTGCTAGCACTGGAGAGGGCTGAGGGGACGGGCAGGAAGTGGGCAGGAAGTTCTCATGCTGCCTGTCAGCCAATCATCACCTGACATCGCTGTTCCCTAACGCCTCCCATATTAAGCACCAGTAACACATGGTCAGTCGCCCTGTTAATTCCTGGGGCAATAATCCTTCATTCATGCCACAACATACATCAGGCATCTTCTCTCTTTGTACTGGGTCAGTGTCCAGTGCCAGACCCCCAGGAGTCACCTGAATCTGGTTCCTGCCCTCAAGGAGCTTCCAGTCAAGTGTTCAAACAGTGGGAAAAGGTTATGAAAGGAGAGGGGGAAATGACTACTTCACCGACTTCCATATATGAAACCACACATGAGTGGGTCTTAATGAGCTAGCAGGAGGCAAAAGGAAAAAGGATGGAGACCGTGGAGAGTCAACACCTGGGACACACAAGCATGTGTGAAAGAACCGAAGTGCAGAGTGAGGCTGGAGCCCAGGTGGGAGGGAGGGGAAGTGGCAGGAGATGAAGCTGGAGAAGTAAGCAGAAGCCATCTGACCAAAGCACAAAGGGCCTGGACCTAAGTGCAAACACTGAAGAGGCCATCCAGCCTAGAGAAGAGCCTGGTCACAGTCCTGGACGGAGGGCAACGCTTCAGAGGACGTAGGGACACATAGAGAGAAGGCGCAGGTGAGAGACCTGGTGTGTGGACTGAGTACGGATGCTGAGACGGGCCCAGACTTGTGGGGGAGTGTGGGAGCTAGAGAGCTGCTTACAGTGGCCATGATGACACTGTTCAAAGGCTCAGCAACAGGACCAATTGGGACACAGCGAAGGCCGCTGCCTGGGAAGAGGGCTCTTCACAGGTCCTGCACCACCCCTGCGTTGTTTTCTCACCCGGATCCCGGCTTTGTCTCTTCACAGTGCTCACTACTCCCTGCCATCACACCACACAGCACGTCTCTCTCCCCATTAACTGGCATGCACAGTGGGGTGCAGCAGGGACAGTGACATGGGAGGCCCTTACACCGGTGGAATGAAATGAACGAGTGCAGTATTCACACACCCAGCCTCTGAGGAACTCGGAGTTGGGTTTGGTGGATGGAAAAACACAAAAAAGATAGTCAGTGCACAGCAGAGCAAGATCGTGCTGGAATGGAGGAGTTCACCGGGGGCCTCCCGAGACTGGAGGTGGGGGAGGTGGTGATCAGGGAAGATCTCCCAGAGCAAGAGACACATCGGGGAAGACAAGTAGAAGAGGGCCAGAAGAAATAGAAAAGTAGGGTAGGGAGGAGGAAGGAAAAGGCATGCGACTACCTAGATTGGAAGCTGATTCCCTAGCAGGGGTTCCTGGGGCACGGGAGGAGCTGGGCGGGGCTAAGGGGAGGAGGACAGGAAAGTGGGCAGGGACACTGGCAGGGATCCTGGGCATGCAGTTCCTCAGGCCAGGGTTCCTCTAAACCACCAGGATCCCTTTTAATCCAGCCCCTGCCCCTCGCTGGCTCACTCTGAGTGACACAGGTCACAATACCGATCTAATCCTGGTGATGGCTGGACTCACCACAACCACCTTCTTCTTGATCACTGGTCGACACCAAAAATGCCGGTAGAGGAGCTGGTCCGAGTCCAGCCAGACCAGATTCTTGACACCCTCGCTACAGGTCAGATCTGTGGTGTTCAGCTGGAATACCAGGAACTGGAAAAGGCGTCCATCCGTGCCCACACTCTGCACAGTCACCGGCTGCTCTAAAACCTTAGGTTCATTCTGAGAGAAAATGAAACGTGTGAGCTGACTCTGAAACCGTGTGAGCGAGAAGCAGTAGAACAGACAGATTCGTTCTGGCCTTTAAACCAATGCCCACCCCCTGTAACCACTGTCTGCACCTTGGGGGCAATTACAATAGAATGAGGTGAGGGCACTGTCCGGGGCCGGGCCTTCCCTCGCCCCCATCCAGCTTTGCTCCAAGGTCTCTGGCTCTTCAACTGGAGCACGTTAGAGTAATAACTCCTGCTACTGAGAGGTCATTACTGGGCAAGCGGCATAGTTCAGGAAGGTGAACTAGGTTAACGACAGGAAATCCTTTAAACTCATGGCGCTACCTGAAGGGGACAACAGTGAGACCAGCTTTACCAGATGTTAACCTGCAGGGTCAACGATGATGATGACTCAACATCTCTTTCTGTTCTCACTCCATCTGAGAGGCGAGGAGACTGAGACTAGCAAGGTTAAGTGACTTATCTGAGGTCACAAAGACATGTAACTTTAAAGCCCAGAACTGGCTAATGCGACCCCGCGCACTTCCCCATGTCCGCCTTGCTCCAGGGGCCTGGTGCCCTAGTTGGCAGGCAGTCATCGCGCCTGGGCTCAGGGTCCCACTCCAACTCAGATTAAACCATGTTCCCAGAGTGTCCAGCCAGCTGCTCTCGGCACCAACATCTCCCCGTCAACACCTCTCTAATGAGCGCTTTTCATTTCTGCAACTTGTTAACAGTCATAAGGCCAGCAACCTTTTCCTGAGGGCCTCTTGTAAACCAAGCATTGGGCCAGTTTTATATAAAGCTGTATTGTATCTAACCTCCTAAATCTAGAGGTATGTTCCCACTTAACAGATGAGAGCACTGGGGCTCAGAGGGGTGGTATGACCTGCTTCAGGCTGTCTGTGAGGAAGTGGCAAGGCCAGAATCAGACTCCACGTTGGCCCTCTCTTGTTCCACTTTACACTGTCCCAGTGCGCTTGGCAGGAGCCCTTCCTTTCACTTCCGTTGTGTCACACTGGATGATAAATTCTATGGAGACTTCCCAACAATTCAGCGTGGTGATGGCTACTCACTGGACAAAGAGCCAACAGGCAGGCCCCATGATGCAGAGCCTCCCAGATGCAATCATGCTGCCTAGATTCACCCCTTCAGGGCTGAACCTGACATTAGGAACAGCGACGGTCTGACCTCAGTGTGGGCCACATTGGGGCTGTTGGCCTTAGAAAACACCAGTTCTTAACCACATGAGAAATAAATAAAAAGAAAAGCACCTTAAGTGTTAGCCGAGAATTCTGTATTGACTCTTATCTCCCTCTACAGATCAATAAAACTGCAGGTAGTACATAAATTTCTCAGCAATTTTACCTTTTACACAGAGGCTCTTCCCGTAATTGCTCAACTTCACAACCCCAGGAATAATTTGTACCTGGAGGGAGTGGGGGCCTCCTCCTCTACCCAACTGGGTGGCAATTAGTGGCAACAGCATTACCCATGCTCTGGCGGCAATAGCTACAGTGGGCCTGCAGGCCCAGGACCTGCATGTAACTCCCTCGGCCTCCTCTCCTGACCCCAGAGTGCGAAGCAGCAGACACTGTGAAGTTGGGGAGATCAGGGCTCTGATTTTTGCTTCCCACTCATTAGCTGTGACATCTTGGACAAGTTACCCAACCTTTCTGAGCCTTCAAGAAGAATGCAGTCAGAGAACAGGAAGAAGATAGCCTTCCTAGGATTGTTAAAACACAGTCACATAAAGATGGAGGAGCTGCTAAACTCCTAGCAGTGTGACGACGAGCCTTGCTGGGCCTCAGTTTCTTCATCTGTAAAATGAAACTACTAGAATCTGCTATTCAGGGTTGCTATAAGGCTTAAATAAAGCAGCGGTTTTCCAACTCTATCAGTTATCACCTGGAGGGCTTGTTAAAACACTGGTTGCTTGGCCCATTCTCAAGGTTTCTGACTCAGCAGAGCTGGGGCAGGTCTAAGGACTTGCATTTCTAACTAGTTCCAAAACGATGCTGATACTGCTAGTCCAAAGCAACATTTTAGAGCTTCACTTGTACAGAGAATCATAATTAAATGTCTAGTTGCCCAACACAGACAAGGTCCAATACTCTTCCTAGCCCATCTGGATGGCCACACTTCCCCCAGTCCTACGGAGTTCCTTGACTAAGTGGAATGATAAACAGAACTCTGAAATTCCCTCACTTCCCCAGGAGGGTCTTGGGCGCTAACCTGTGAACCTTCCAGCAGCTCTCAGAATGCTCCCCTTCCAAATCTAGGGATCTGGTACCCCAGGTCCACTTGGGAGCTCTCATAGTGCCATTCCCTGAGAGGCCAGGCTTCCCCTGAATCCTGTGACTCCTGTCTCTGACAGCCACTCTGCCTGCATCCTACCTACCCGCTCGAGGTCCCTGAGCTATCTTCTGACGTAGCCAGCATGTCTCGCTCATCTCACTGCTTCGAGCCGGCTCCTCCTATGGTCAGGAGGCTTGTGCTCCAGCTCAGTTACCACAGCACAGAGGCAATATGCTGCAGCCTGAACCATGGCACTATGGAGCCGGGACTTCAGGGCTTCCTGCTGGATGAGCTGCTCAGCCTCCCCAAGACTATAACCTGGAAAATGAGGATCCACTGAAACCTGTGGACTACTGGCATCGGCAAAGGAGTTGTCTTAAGTCAAGCACGGTTCCTTCTCTGTAGGGTGAGGAGATGTGTGTCTTGTCCCAGAGCTCCTCAGAGAAGTCATAAAGCAACCAATGCGTGTAAAGCAGAAAAAACCCAACACCACGGAGAGCAGCTTTCGGCTCTTCTCCACGTACATACCCCAAAGAGGTGCCGGGCCTGAGCCAGGGCATTGCCAAAAGCAAACAGGATCATCTTGGCCCGCAGCTGATCTGGTTGCAGGCGGTGTGGTCGTAAACGGGCTGTCTCCAGGAAATACAGGGTATGGGGGTAGGGATAAGGATAACCCTCTCGGAATCCTGCAGAATGGATAATGATGCAGAGGAATGGAGGCAATGAATCAGCTTGTGCCCTCACCCTTAGCTCACTGCCAGGCACTACCGAGGAACCCGGGAAGGGCAGCCTTTATCCTTCACACTCAGGAGCTCGGAACTTCAGCCCATAGGTGAAAACTGATCCACCTACTGCATGTTTTTATAAAGTTTTATTGAAACACAGTCATGCCTATCTATTTATGTACAAGAAGGTTTTAAAGGTTTGTTGAAAAATGGAATTGAGAGATTTTTTTCCATGAATTTATTTGAAGACCCCCCCGTTATATATATTAAGTCCCTGCAACAGAGACATGTGACCTGCAAAATCTACAATATCTACTATCTAACTCTTCATAGAAAATGTTTGCCAGCCCCATGCGAACTAGCTCTAACTCTACACCTCTCTCTTACTCAATAACACAGACAACACTGACATTAGAACTTGAACTTTGTGATGATTATTAAAAACAACGCAAATCATGCGTACAAGTTAAGATTATATTAGTAACAAATCGCAGGCCTGGAACCTCACAACAGATCAGCACAACACTGGTGACGGGAATCAATCAGTTTGTTACCATGGAACCGACTCTGAGTCGCGGCTACCCCATATGTAAAGTAGGACTGCTTCACAGGGTCTCCAAAACTGTGTGTGCCCTTTTGGAAACAGACCATCGGGCCTGTATCTTGGTAGTTTCAAACTGCCAACTTTTTGCTGGTAGTTGAGTGCTTAACCATTTGCATCACCCAACAATGAATCCAAGTTCAGCACCGTTTCTCTAGCCATGAGCCTGTGAAGTGGCCATTCTCTTCCTCAGCACACAGTTAATACTCAGTATGGCTCTTCCCTTTGGAAACAGCTCATCAGCTATGTCCTGCCTAACAACCAAAGGCTCTGATACCCACCTCTGTCATCTTTCACATCATAAACATGGCATTCCTGAAGATCAATAGTGGGAGATATGGGATAGAAGGTCTCCAGAACATGGTTCTTAGTGGCCTCAACCTCTTCTCTAGAGGCAACGGGGGGCAGAGGATCCTTGGCACTCAACTGGGTGCCACTAGACCCACGGACCTGAAGGATGGTAGACTCTACAAGGAAAGAAAGACAATTAGTCTAGCTTGGCTTTTAACGCCTTAGCTCAGCAAAGCCCAGCACTGTCAGCCTCCAAGTTACTCAAGTAATTTAGCATTTTTCGAGCAGTCAGTCTGATCAGAAAACAAAACCTTGGGTTAGGACACGAATTCTGGGATTCTTGAGAGGGGGATGAAATAATACACTCTTCTTCCTTAGGGTCCCTTTTCAATGAACCCTGAGGCCTGGTGATCTCTGTTGGTTCAGATCCACCCCCTACACTATCTCCCCAAGACCTGTTCTAAGGGCTACAAAAAAAGTATGAACCACATTCAGAAAATAGTAAAAACAGACCTGTTCATGGAGGTCAGGGTCTTCTTGAAGGAAGCAATGCCTGAGATTTTAAAGGACAGATAAAAGCAGGGATTCTCAACTTCAGCACTATTCACGTTCTGGAGCAGATAACTCTTTGGTGAGGAGGATGCCCTGTGCACTGTAGGAGATTTAGCAGCATCCCTGGCCTGTATCCACTAGACGACTATCCTTCACTCCACCACCTCTCCCTCACCAGGTCACAACAGTCAAAAATGTCTCCAGACATGGTCAAATGTTTCCTGGGAGGCAAAACTGCCCTTGGTCCTGGTCAAAAACCAGAGTAAGAGTTTACGGGGCAAGGAAATGAGAAGAAAAGTATTAGTTAAGTGCAGAGCACAGACACGAGCAACTCCATGGTGGAGTTTAGGGAAATAAATCCAGACGACATGAGCATTATCACAGCGGAGAAGGGACAGAGAAAGAGGAGTAATGAGAAGGGCCAGAAGGCCTCTGCAAGGACAGCAGGTAACTGGGCCAGTCAGAAAGCCTCACTTGAGTTGGATAAGCCTATCTGACACACGGCGCTATAAGTGATATGAAGAAACCAACTTGTATCTAACTAATCAACAAGTTTGTCGTCGTGAACACGGGCAGTCCAGTGGGTGCCCTGCATAGACATCCCCAAACAAAACGTGCCCGGGATGACTCCTAGCGGCCAGCCTCCTGAGGAGGTACTTGGAGTTTTAGAAACAGAATCATGATGTGATGGTTACGGAGCAATTAAAATCGGTTTGGACAATGAAATCATCATTATTATCTGACCTCTCTTACTGAGTATGCCAAAAAGGGGTATGACTTCAGTATGTGAATAAATTCTCATCTGCTTATTAAAACACATTATACTCACACCTCAAGAGTAGGTTTCTAAAGCATTTCCTGTTTCCTCACATAGGAATCTGCTAGGAAAAGAAATGTGCTGGACCTCTCGTAACCTTGGGTTTTAGATTCTCCCCACAGACCACTTTAGTGTGGTTTCTAATTCAACTCCCTCCACATCCCTCCGCCAGTGACATCTCCAAATGGGGCAGTTTAATTAGAGGTAATGCTTGCTGATGAGCCAATAAGTACTCCTCCATTAATGAGCTCCACTAATTTCCTAGCGGTGCAGTTACCTCTGCAAAGCTGACTCGTAGCCAGGAAGTCCACACTTCAAAGAGCAAGCTGGAAAACCTGACCAAACAAATGTCCTGAAAATCCCAAATTCTTCCAGAACCAGTTTTCCTGCTCCAGGATTCCAGCAATCAGAATGCCTGTGCTCTCGGCCTGTCCGTGCCTGAAACACCTGAGCTGTGGTATTCATTCATCTCTCCCGTTAGTCAGGAGCCAGTAGACTCTGTAGACAAAAGGGGTTAAGAGAGTCCCTGCCACAGGAGTTCAGTTTAGTGGGGCAGACAGAAAAGAGATGAGATAATGGCCAGGTTGTGTACTACATGCCATGGCAAAGGTAAGGGTAACTAGCCCCACCTAGATTCACAAAAGAAAAAGGGCTTGAGTCAAACAGAATTCCGTCAAATGAAAGAAACAAAACAGGCAGACTACACAACAGGTGCAAATGCACAATGATGTGAAAGTTTGATGCCAACAATCTACAAGTGGCTACAGCTGAACCTTAGGGCTGGGGTGAAGGGGCAGTGGCATAAGAGGTAAGACTAGAAAGATCGGTGGAGGCCAAATCACAAAGGGTAGGCCACTACAAAGGGTCCCAACTATGAAACAGTGAAGGACATGAAGCAGAGGAGATATTAAAAGACTTGAATTCTATAAAGATCACTTTAGCCACCATGTAAAAAATGGATTTGGAAGGGCAACAAATGAATGGGAATAAAAGGGTTGCTGCAATAGAATGTAAGCTCTGTGAGGGCAGGGACTCTATCTGCTTTGTTATTTTTCCCTCATCTTCAGCATTTAGATATTCCCACGCACACAGCAGGCACTCAAAAGCTATCGAAGTAACCAAGTGAAACCCACTGTCACTGAGTTCATTCTGGCTCATACAAGACCAAGTGGCTTTCAAATCTGTAATCTTTACAGAAACACACCGCCGTATGTTTCTCCCATGGAGTGGGACAGTGCATTCGAACTACAGTCAGGCTGTTTAACCACTGTACCACTAGGGCTCCTATTAACAAAAAAAAGTAACAACACCAACAAAAGGCTGTCACATACATAGTCAATGACATTGAAAGTGTGTCTGAGACTATAAATCTGTACCATGTATAGAAGTGAAGACAGATCTGGAGCGGGCTGGTTTTAAATGTGACTGGTGGTAGACAAGGACAGAAAACAGACCACGACTCTCTGGGGTATAAGATGACGAACCTCGGTTCCAGGTGGTGGAGAATGAGTAGTTTTGGGCACAGATCCGTTGGGCCAGAGCAGGATGCTTGAGAATTTGGGATTTGCACAGCTGTATCAGATTGTCCACAATGACTGGGCTTGGAGAAAAAAAGAAACATTTGGGTGACTTAAAGCAACAGATTGACTCCAAGACCCAGCAGTGGGAAATCATATTGATTTGGGAACTTACCAGTAGGTCTCTCTCTTGGGGATATCTTCAGTGGTGTGCCAGAGACGGGCAAGAGAAATCACGTTCAAAACGCGCTCATCTTGGTTCTCTATGTGGTTTTTTGGATCATCAACCAGATTCAGCATTTTCTCTGGGAGGCCTTCTATTACTTTGGTCTTGGTAAGCCAGACGGCCTGCTTTACACCTTTAGGATAATCAGTTCAAAAGAAAAAGAGGATGACTATGCTAGGAAAGGGTGGTGCATAAGTCTGGAGGGTCATATCTTAAGGAATGGCTGCCTTCAAAGAGACTATTTGTTCTATAAAACCTAAGGAGTCAGAACTAAAACTTGAGAGTGGAAGCCAGAGGGTCAGATTTCAACCAATTTCATGACTGACTTTCAAGTTAGAGCTGGTCAATGGTTATTTCACACAGTGAGCTCCAGTCATGGGAGGAATTCAAACTACAGCTAAAACAGCTGAGATACGTGCTACATCACTTATTCACCTCAGTTCATCTCAGCAGGCTGTGGCTTAAATAAAATCCCATTTGCCCTCAATAGATATATGGCTAGGAGTTCCTGGGTGGCTCAAATGATTACATGCTCAACTACTAACTGAGTGATTGGCAGTTTGAAGTCACTCACAGGTGCTTTGGAAGAAAGGCCTGGCAAACTGTTTATGAGCAGTTCCACTCTGAAACATGTGGGGTCGCCATTAGTCAGAATAGACTCGCCAGCAACAGTTTGTTCTTTTGGGGGTGTTTAGGGCACTTTGGGGGAAGTACCTCTAGACAGAATCTCAATGGTAAGGAAAGGAAGGCAAAGAGACATTTCACAGTAAGGCCCAGAAAACACCACACTAAACATACAAATATTTACAAATATAACTTCTAGAAGGCTGGACCATCAGTCAGGTAGCCTGAGTTTTAGTTTTGACACTGTCACTCTTCCTTCAACTTGAAAATGGATAAAAGGTTAAGATTTTACTGTTCACTAGTATCTCAGTAACCTGTGATCATTCAAGCTGCCATTTCCTGGGTTTCACATTCTACTTACTCTGTACCAGCTGGGATGTTATGGGTTGGAGGATGAGATTCAGTGACAAAAAAGGAATTGACTTCAAGTCATTTCAGTCCTGTAAATGACAGGCTATGATGGGAGCCTGAACCACTCTACCCCAAGACCCATCTCTCTTCATTACTCCAATTTGCTTCATTAGCCCTACAACTTGCAGACTTTTATTAGTCTTTAAAGAACCTCTCTGAAAGTGGTGACAGTGTAGGATACATTTCCAGCCTAGTCAAATGAGTGCAATCTTAACTCTAAAATATTCATCCATGTGGTATCCTACTGAGGGTCACTCAAGGGTACCAAGCAAGTCTCATGAGGTCCTGCACAGCACCTTGTGACGGCACTGAAGTGTATGAAGCTGGGACAATCAGCTTCCAGGAATGGGTTTCAGCAGCTTAAGAGAGTAGCCAATTGACTTAATTATTTTCTTTTTTTCAAACCTAGAATATATTCTCTGGCTTAGTCTCCAAGTCCTGCCAAATCTCTTTCCAAATTAATTTTTAAAAACCATACCCACCGACCTCAGATCCATTTGGACTCATGGCATTTGTCCTATGGTGTTGCTATGGGATAAAGTAGAACTGCCCCCACAGGGTTTTCAAGGTTGCAAATCTTTATAGAAGCAGATTACCACATCTTTCTCCCTCAGAGCTGCTGGTGGGTTTGAACTGCCAACCTTTTGGTTAGTAGTTGAGCACTTAACTACTGCGTCACCAACAAAAAACCCCCAAACCCACTGCGACCTTAGGTTTCTGAGACGATAAATCTTTATGGAACAGATAAGCCTTATCTTTCTTCCTTGGAGTGGCTGGTGGTTTGAACCACCAACTTGTGGTGAGCAGTCCAACACGTCACCTAATTTCTTTATTACTCCATAGAAAATCCCGGTTGCCTCAACCATTCTGCAGTCAACCTGCCCTATCTGTATTCTGATTTGGTGGTGGTTATGTGCCACGGAGTCGGTTCCAGATCATAGCGACCCTAAATAGGGTTTCCAAGCCTATAAATCTTTATAGGAGCAGAAAGCCTCCTCTTTCTCCCATGGAATAGCTAGTAGATTTGAAGTGCTGATCTTGCAGTTAGCAGCCCACCACATAACCCACTACACTACCAGGGGTTCTTGTATTCTGACTTAGGAGAATGAAAAATGGAAACAAGAGACTCTCAATAAATTTACAAAATAAGCAGTCCTGGTATGGCACTGTAAGATAAGCACTGGACTGCTGACTACAAAGTTAGCAGTTCAAGCGCATCACACACCACTCAAAAACGGACTCAAGGTCGCTGTTAACCCACTAGACGTCATTTAACAACATACACAAAATCTACGGCCATCAAGTTGATTATGACTCATAGTGACCCTACATAAGGTTTCTGAGGCTGTAAACCTTTATGGAAGCAGAAAGCCTCATCTTTCTCCCATTGAGCAACTGGTTTTGACTCATAGCAGCCCTGTATAGGGTTTTCAAGCAACGGGTGGTGGATTTGAACTGCTGACCTTGGGGTTAGCAGTCCAGTAGACACCAGGGCCCATATAGTCTCTGGAAACGGTCTGTAGGTTGACATGTGGGTCCTGGTGTGGCACTGCAGGATAGGTACTGGACTGCTAATTGCAAGGTTGGTGGTTCAAATGCACTAGCGGTTTGGACTCAGTCATTTTGATCTGTCCTCAATAAGAGCGTTGCTGTTGTTAAGTGCTATCAAGTCAGTTCCCACTCAGCAACACTCTACAGGGTTTCCGAGGAGCACTTGTTGGTTTTGAACCACCAACCTTGTGGTTTGCAGTCCAGTGCTAATCCTATAGCACCACATAAGGAGTCGTCTCAATAATTGCAAAAGGGAAGTGAGCTAGGCTTTAGATAGAGAAGAGTCCTGGTGTGAAGCTGTACAATAAGCACTGAATCATAAAGTCAGTCTGACCCTAAAGGTCAGCAGTTCAAACTCACCAGCTGCTCCTCAGAAACCCTATACATGAAGGACACTAACCTAGGAAGCCAGAGTTACAGCCCTGGTTTCATAATTGACAAGGTTGTTGTAGTTAAGTGCTGTCAAGTGGATTCTGACCCATAGCGACCCTGTACAGGGTTTCCGAGGCTGTAAATCTTTACGGGAGCAGAAAACCTCATCTTTCTCCCGCAGAGCAGCTGGTAGTTTCGAACTGCTGACTTTGAGATTCACAGTGCATTGGTAACCACTACGCTACCAATCACTTTCCCTCTCTGTCACAAGGATCAATCCTTGAGATAAAACACTCCTTCTTTCCATCACACCCTCCCTTCATCCATTCTTAAAATAAGAGTAACATCTTCCAGTCAGAACTGGAAGGGGCAATGTAGACCATCTAATCAAAACCACTCATTTCTCCAGAGGGGCTGTGTGCTGACAACCAGGGGTCAGGCTCGCAGGGTATACCCTTTGGTTGGTTGATGATGTATGGAGTGGATTGTTACCATAGCAATGAAACTATATACTATAGAATGAATGTAAAACTAATGTTCTCCCATGTAAACTATCACAGAATTCACAATAAAACATTTTTAAAAGCCACTCATTTCCCAAGAAATGGAGGCCCAGGAAAGTTCAGCCATTTGACCAAACTCACAAAACGCGTTAGAAACAGGGCCAAAACTACAATCCAGATCTCTTCATTTTGAGGCTCAAATTTTCTACTCTCCCCTCACACCTGCACAGGTTTCTATAGTGTGCCATCACGTTTCCATTATTCCACTTAATCCTGAAAACTCTCACAAGACAGGAATCATGATCAGTCCCATTTCTCAGACGAAGAAATCGAAGAGACCCCAGGAGTTTCTAACTCTTGCCCAAGGCCAGAGTCGGAGTCAGGGCAGGGGGCAGGAACTAATCCCCTCCCGCCGGGCCTGGGCCTCACCCTCCAGGAGGCGGCTACGCTGATGGAAAATATAGCAAGCCTGGTCCTTGTACAGCGGCTGCTCGTGAATCGGAGGCGTGCGGTGGAACTTCGGGTGCGCCCAGCCGCGGTCCCAAGGCGGAAAGACGGGTCGCGCCATCCCTGGCACGAAGTGCATTTTCCCCGCGTAGGTGATGGGCTCCAGTCCGGGGATTTCATACACTCTGTGTAGGGGAGGAGGCTCAGGCTTCCGCGTGGAGCGCACACCCCACTCATAAGCTCCACGTTTGGGGACTCCGCAGCCCCCAAGACCGAACCGCCTGGGGCCTGCTAGTGCCCGCTTCGCGGGCCCCGAGGCCAAAGCCATAGCGATCAGACCTCTCAAGCCTCCCACCTGGACGCCGCCATCTTCCCCTGCTCAAGGGCTGCTGGGAACGAAAGGGGCCGGACGCCGAAGCTCTCATTTATGAATGGCAGCCATTTCAACCAATCATCTGGTCTTGTCCCACCTCCTCAGGCCGTTTCAATGATTTTTTTTTTTTTAATGGGTGGGACCAACTAAGTGCTCCCCTCCTCCCTGAGACCCGCAGGACTGAAAGATCTTCACGTGCAGAGAAGTTTGGAAGTGTAGGTGAGTGGTGGAGGTCAGGGCTCGGTCACCAGAGTTTAAAATCTGAGTTTAGAACCTCCTTGATTGTTTACAAGCAGTTTGAACCTGGGCAAGGCACTTTCCTCTCTGAGCCAGTGTCTCTCGCTGTAGCATTTGTTGTTAACTGCAGTTGGTTCTTACTCAAAGCGACGCTGTATAGGGTTTCCAAGGAGCGGCTGCTGAGTTAGAAAGTTGTTGGTAAGTACCGTGGAGTCGGTTCCGACTCATAGTGACCCTGCACAGGGTTTCCGAGGCTGTAAATCTTTACCGGCGCAGAACGCTTCATCTCTCTCCCGCAGAACCGCTGGTAATTTCGAAGTGCTGAGCTTGAGGTTGGCAGCCCGATTCGTAACCACTAAGCTACCAGAGTTTGAAAGTTACGGGCTGGGATTTCCTAAACTAGTGCATTTCCCACAAATTTGGGCTGGTAGTGAGTGCTCAATAAAGTTGTTTCGACACTCATTTCGCCCTGCAGCGGACGCTTCCGTCGCTATCCTTTCCCTAGACCTAAGAGTGGTTTCCCTACACCAGCCCTGACTGCACCCTTGTCCCCCTTCCCCCAGTGCCGAAAGTGAGTTACTTTTCACCCTTTTCCTCAGGATTTCCCTTTCTGCTTCCTAGAAGCTTGGCTAGAGCCACGACAGTGTATCTTTGCTCCTTGATCAGCATAAATCAGAAATAAATGCTGATTTATTTCTTCAAATGCCCACTGTGTCAGGCTCGGGTATGCATTTGTACAAAAAAATAATACATGTGGATATGTTGTTGTTGTTGTTAAGTGCCATCGAGTCGGTTCCGACCCATAGCGACCCAGTACAGGGTTTCCAAGGGGTGTAAATCTTTACGGGAGTAGAAAGCCTCATCTTTCTCCCGCGGAGCGGCTGGTAGTTTCGAACCGCTGACCTTAAGGTTTGCAGCCCGATTCGTAACCACTACGCTACCAGAGCTCCTTACATGTGGATATAGAGGTTCCATTTCGTTGGAAGATGCATGTAGAATGTAAACAAAGTAAATAAGTAAATTGCAATGTACCACACCTTCTCCCTGAGAATTTTTCTCTTTAGCCTTCAACACTGACATACAATATGGTTTCAATGTTCATCTTGTTTAATTACTTCCTTGCCCACTCAAATATAAACTGTTTCTTTACAGCTGTATCCCACCACTTAGACGGGCCCCAGCCTCAGTAAATACATGTGTAATGAATATATACTTCCTAGAAACCAATAGGTATATGATAGAGAACAGAAGGTGAAGGTTCAAAGAGGACCTCTGGCGGAGCTCATCTGTAAAGCCCAGACATGATGCATGAGGAGAGTGTCCAGGCAGAGGTAACAACATGTCACTTAAAGATGCTGCCTCTCAGACTGAAAAGTGGAGGCTGAGAGACGGCTTGGCCTGACTCTTCAGAACTAGGGGCTAGGGAAGCAACCTGTGTCCATTAGCAGATGAGTGAATAAACACAGTGTGACAGAATTGTTGTTAAGTGCCTTCAAATTGGTTCCTACTTATAGTGACCCTGTAAAGGGTTTCCAAGGAACAGATGGTGAGTTTGAACCCCCAACCTTGCAGTTCAAACCAACCGTAAGGTCCAGCACTTATCCTGCAGTGCCATACCAGGATTCTTTGTAAGATAATATTATATCATGAAAAGGAATGAAGTGCTAATTGATACATGTTACATACACCATAGAGTCCTGGTGAGGTGCTGTGGGTTAAAGCGCCAGACTGCAAAGCCATTTGAACTGCAAGGTCAGCAGTTCAAACTTACCAGCTGCTCCTCGGAAACCCTATACAGGGTCGCTATGGGTCGGAATCTACAGCACTTAACAACAACAACAACACATATACCATGGATGAATCTTGAAAACATGCTGGATTTCAAGATCTATCTGAAAACAATGCTGTCTGTGATCAGATAATATCCATACACCTATGAGAAAGATCAGTTAATACCACAATTACTCAAATTTACAGGCCAACCACTAAAGCCAGTGATGATGAAATGAAGAATTCTACCAACTTCTTCAATGTGAAATGGATCAAGCATGCAATTAAGATATATTGATAATTACTGGTGATTAGAATGCAAATGTTGGAAACAAAGAAGGAGAATCTGTAGTTGGAAAATATGACCTTAATGATATAAATGATGCTGAATATCACATTGTAGAATTTTGTAAGACCCATGATTTCTTCATTGCAAATACCTTTTTTAAACAACATAAAAGATGACTATACACATGAACCTCACCAGTTGGATCAAATTGATTACATCTATGGAAAGAGATGGTAGAAAAGATCCATATTATCGGGCAAAACATTGCCAAAGGCCAGCTGTGGAACAGACCATCAATTGCTGATACGCAAGTTGGCACTGAAGCTGAAGAAAATTAAAACAAGTCCACAAGAGTTAACGTATGACCTTAATCATATCGCATCTGAATTTAGAGATCATCTGAAGAACAGAATTGATGCGTTAGATACTATTGACAGAAGTCTGGAAGAATTGTAGAATGAAATCTAGAGCATCATACAGAAAGAAGCAGAAGGTCATTAAGAAGATTTAAAAAAAGGAAAAAAATAAAACCAAAATGAATGTCAGAAGAGACTCTGAAACTTGCTCTCCAGCACAGAGATGCTAAAGCAAAGGGAAAAAATGAAGTAAAGAGCTGAACAAAAAATTTCAAAGGTCAGCTTGAGAAGGTGAAGTCCAGTATTATAATAAAATGTGCAAAGACCTGGAGTTAGAAAACCAAAAGGAAACACCATGTTCTGCATTTCTCAAGCTGAAAGAACTGAAGAAAATAGTCAAGCCTCGACTTGTAATTTGAAGGATTCTATGGGCAAAATATCGAATGATACAGAAAGTATCAAAAGAAGATGGGAGGACATTCCATAGACTCCTGTCAACCTTGAGATGAGAGAGAGAAGAGGAAGGGCTGTTTGGTCTGAAGTTTGGGGAAACTTGGGAACTCCTGGGCCCATGGACACTGACCTTCACTGAGGTGAAGCTAGAACGGAGGGTGAGGTGTCCAGCTGATAAAAAATAGGGGGAGATGCACAAGAATGCTCAAGCTTGCAGGTAGTACCCCATTGACCTAGTTTTAATGGCTTGATGATCAGAACTCGACTAGAGGAAATCTGATAAAGGAAGCAAGTGCAAATTGCTACAGTTTGATGAACTTGGCCTACACTTATGGATTGTTGTTAAGTGCCGTCGAGTTGATTCCGACCCATAGTGACCCTGTATAGGGTTTCTAAAGAGCAGCTGATGAGTTTGAACCACTGAACCTTGCAATTCAAATGGCTTTGCAGTCTGGTGCATTAACCCACAGCACCGTACCAAGACTCCACTTATGGATGTAGTAGCTCAAGCTGGATTCAGAAGAGGCCGTGGAACGAGAGATATCATTGCTGATGTCTGATGGATCTTGGCTGAAAGCAGAGAATATCAGAAGGATGT